GCCCAGGCCACCCTTGTGAACCCACAGCACCATCATAAAGGATCGCCTCAGTCCTAGAGGGACCCAACTTAGCCTGGGACAGTCACAAGCATCGTCACCAACCCACGAGCTTGGCAGTGACTGCCACACAGCTCCCCACAGACCCCGCCGGACCTCCTGCCCCCGTGACCGCGTGTGACCCCACCTGACGCCCAAGCTTCCCGCCGGGGCCGCGGCCGCGGCAGCAAGGGGATGTGGCTCGGCCAAGGCCGGGCCCGCAGAGCCGTGGCACTTCCCCAGCTGCTGACAGAAGGCTCGGGCTCTCGGGCTGGGGTGCTGGCAGAGGCTTATTTCACCCGCTAGTCCCTGTTCCGGCACCCTGAGCAGTCGCTCCCCCTACCCTCCCAGGTCGCTGTAACCAAGAGAAGCCGCCGCCCTCGGCCTGGCCCGCAGCACCTGCCCTCTGCTTGCCGGAGCTCCCACGGGTCCCTGTCCACGTGGCGCTCAGCGGCCAGCTCTGTGACGTCCCCAAACGCCAGCCACCTCCACACCACGGCCAGCCACGCGGGAGGAAGCGGCTCTTACCGGGCATGATGATCTCGGGGAACCCCGTCTTCCGAGCCACGGCCGTGGTCCTGTCCACCAAGTGAGGAAACTCCTTCCTGATCTGATGGACGTCTCCAGGGAGCAACTTCAGCGTGACCCACAGGCCTAGGGAGACAACAGGCGCGTCCGTTACGTTTTATCTCATCCGTGTCTAAAAGGCATCACAAAACCCGCTTAACGAACGAGCAACTCCTCGTTCATGGCATAAGGCTGTAAGAGAAAAGGTCGTGTATGAGGAGGGGGGAGGAGAGGGGCCAGGAGGAGGCGGCTGGCCCGGGCATCACCTGCGTCGGGTTGGCTGGGTTACGAATCCCGCTCAGCCGGGGCCGCAGGACAGGCGTGCACGCGGACAGCGCTGAGTGCCAGCTCTGCCCAGGACCAGAGGCTTTCGAGCTCACGTGCACTGAAGGTAAACCATGAGGTAGCATTTTGGGGGGATGGTTGAAAGGCTTTTGCTTCTCATTCTCCCAAGGGGAACAACAGAGGACCTGGGAGGTAAATTCTCAGCTTCACGAACCCAAAGTTCCAAATTGCTGAGCAGCACCCGAGCTCTGCAGAAGGCGGGCGGCAGAGCGCTGGGCTGTGGGCCACCACCAGGCCGGCCCCACGGACAAGGCCAGCCCCACCGGACAGGGCCAGCCCCACCGGACAGGGCCAGCCCCACCGGACAGGGCCAGCCCCACCGGACAGTGCCGGCCCCACAGGACCAGGCCAGCCCCACCGGACAGGGCCAGCCCCACCGGACAGGGCCAGCCCCATGGGACAGGGCAAACCCCACCGGACAGGGTGGGCCCCACAGGACTGGGCTGGCCCCACAGGACCAGGCCATCCCCACCGGACAGGGCCAGCCTCACCGGACAGGGCCAGCCTCATGGGACAGGGCCAGCCCCACAGGACAGAGCCAGCCCCACCGGACAGAGCCAGCCCCACAGGACCAGGCCAGCCCCACCGGACAGAGCCAGCCCCACAGGACAGAGCCAGCCCCACCGGACAGAGCCAGCCCCACCGGACAGGGCCAGCCCCACAGGACAGAGCCAGCCCCACCGGGACATGGCCAGCCCCGCTCTTCGCTCTTCCTGTGACTGAATAGTACAAGCTCATCAACACGGAGGACTCTAAGAGCTGGAGAGCCGAGGGCAGCCAGGGTCCTGGGGGCCAAGCTGACAGTAGCTCCAGAGATACAGCTGCCATTGGACCTCCCCATGGTTTGTAAAGGGCTCTGAGAAGATGACTCCTGGGTTAGCTAGACACGGCTGTCTGCCATCGGTGATGGTGGTAGTGATGACGGGGATGATGAGGATGGAGACGATGGGGAGGAGGAAGAGGAGGGAGATGGTCATGAGGAGGAACCATCCTCATGGTTCCAAGATGGTGATGCATGATGGTTGCTCAGTGGTTGAGCCTGCACCCATGAACCAGGAGGTCATGGTTCGATTCCCGGTCAAAGCACATGGCTGGGGTGCAGGCTCGATCCCCAGTAGGGGGTCTGTGGGAGGCAGCCGACCGATGATGTTTCTCTGTCACCAATGTATCTTTCTCTCCCTCTCTCTTCCTCTCCCTCTAAAAATCAATACAAACATATTTTTAAAAAATACAGGTGCCTGGACCCACCCCAGAGACTGACTTAAAAAAAGAAAGAAAAGGCTCTGTCTAGAGAGGTTACATTTCATGACGTTGGGGTTGGGGTTTTTGCTTCACGGATGGTTGCCAGGGAGGCGGTAGTTCACAGCCAAGGCCTCTCTACTGCAGAGGGTGGGCTCCTCGGACTCAATTCGCCCTCCCTGAGAGCGATGGGAAGGGAATCAAGGGGACTGTTCCTTACATGCTACCCACACAGCTCACTAGACGATGCATCGGGGTTGTTCCCTGAGTGCTAGGAGCTCACAGGAAGTCTCCATTGAATCAGGGGCTGAGAAGTGGACTTCCCAGGTGCGAGAAGCAGCCTCAGGCAGGAGGGCTCTGACGCGCCTTCCCCTCGGCTGGGCAGGGCCTGGGTAAACAGTTGTTTTCCGGGGCCTCCCGGCCGCCGAGTGCCAGCTGTCACCAGCCGAGGTGACTGATTCATCGCCTCTGCCAACAGAAGGGCAGCTGCTGGGGAGCTTGTCAGTGTGGGATTAAAAATGATGAGTGTTAGACGGGCCGCGGGAAGGAGAAATCCCTCCATCACAAAACTGAAGGGGAAGGAGGGCAAAATGAGCCCATGATCTCGGGGGGCGGGAGGGGGCGTCTCAGAAAACAAAGTGGCAGCGATTAGGCCGCCACCGGCAAGGAACGCTGCGGCAGGAGCATGTGCGGAGGTGGGTATGTCGAGCATCTCATGTTTCTCTAAACAGCAAGTGAAATAACAGCCGGAGACGGTTACTCTATGCTCCTGTGAGGCCATTCAAGTGCTTTTCAAAATGATTAGGATGAAAGGAGCGGCTGGATAAGACTGGGGAAGGCAAACAGATGAGTCGCTTCTAGTCTCATCAACTCTGATTTCCAAAGGCTTAATTGTTTCCCACTCTGTCGAACCCTCACATCAAGGAAGTTGGCTCTTAGCAGAGCTTACAAGGGTGATCAGCAAGAAAATCTTCATAATGCTCTTCCCTGTCTCTCTTGTCACCTACTCTGTCCTTTGTCAGGCAAACGACTACAGACATTATCCCCGGATGCCATCATCACCATCATCAACATCGTCATCACCATCATCATCA